AAGAGCTCTCATGGTATTCCACACTCAAACCAGAATATCTACAACAGAGAATTTAACAGCAGAGAGCTGCTTCAGGCAGCCAGGAACAATAACCCTTTGTTGTGACCAGCACATACTTTAACACGGAGTTTTGATTTGTGACTCACGTGATTGTCCAAGACACCCTGTGAAGCAGGTAGACACCCCCCCCCTCTATGTTATGGTGGAACTGAAGTGCTTTCTCCATGTCACACAGTTTATGAATTAGTTGCAAAGCCAGGGTAGGATTCAGGTTCTCTGCAATGAATTCTTCCTGGATAGTCACTCACTACCTGTGCAAACAACAGGCTGATCTGGTGTTTGTTGAGTACAGGGTACAGGAGAAACTATGAGAAGGTGATTAATTTCTTCCTAGCCACACCCTCAGCTCTAATGGCAAGTCACCTCCATTTCTGCCATGTGGCTTTTGTGGGTGTTCACCTAAAGGAAACAATGGTCCACCAAAGGCTGTCACCCTCTTCGTTTTTTGTAAGCCTCATTGCATCTTCCTTGATGTCTTCCATCCTTTTCTCTTGCTTAGCTATTGTATTGTCATTCTGTGGATCATTAACTCTGTGTCTGTTTGCCCTTGAGTTGGGGTAGATCTTGGTTTACTCCCCAAAACTATTTTTGTATCTCAATAAAAGATATATTTATTTTTACTTGTGTGTGTTTGTGCATGTGAGGGCAGGTGCCCTCAGAGGCCAAAAGAGCTGCAGCTGGAGTTGCAGATGGTGTGAGCTGCTCTATGTAGGACTGAACTCAGTCCTCGGCAAGAGCAGTGTGTGCTCTTAACCACTGAGCCATTTCTCCAGCCTAACTTGTATCTTCCTGTATCTTTATCGCCTGACCTCTTCCCATCAATTCATCCTCTGGTGCTCCTTTCTACAAAGAAATAGGATCCCAAACAAAATAACTGACTTCAAGATCCCATGTTCTCTATTAGGACTTTTAAAAGGATATATGAAGGTAGTGTAGCACACATCTTTAATCCCAGCACTCAGGAGGCAGAAACAGGTGGATCTCTAAGAGTTTGATGCCACAGAGTGAGTTCCAGGACAGCCAGGGCTACAAAACAAAACAACAACAACAACAAAAAAGTATATGAATGGATGAAGCCTCCAAGTTCTCATTCTGGATTTCAAAATATAGATGTTTGTGTGTGAATCTCAATAGTTTCCTTGTAGGAGCATTTTCCTGGACAGGAAGCTGATCTCTCTGACGATGGGGAGTAGCCCACACAGCACATTATGGTAGTCACCTGGGAATTTGCAAACAGTTCATAAGGAAACAGATATTTTCAGTTTATGTCTGGGAAGCAGTCATAGGGAGAATCTCTTCTGTATCCTGTCTGCCAATGATGTGCTAGCAGCCTAGGGGAATGGCCTAGAAGATCCAAAACGGAAGACCACACACTTCAGCGGTAGACTCCCCACATGGCCCTCCCAAACTAGATCTTTATGGATTTCCTGTTCAAAGAGTGAGACTCCCCCTCTCTCCTCTCTCTCCTCTCTCTCTCTCTCTCTCTCTCTCTCTCTCTCTGTGTGTGTGTGTGTGTGTGTGTGTGTGTGTGTCTGTGTGTGTCTGTGTCAGCCAGAAGACAACCTCAAATGTCATTCAAGTGCCTTTCAGCTTGCGTTTTTAAGATAGATTCTCCCATTGGTCCAGGGATCTCTGATTGTCCTGCAAGTCCCAGGGATCTGTCCTGCCTCTCCAGATCTGGGGCTTCAAGCTCACCAGCCTGCATAGTTGATGTCTGACAGGGGTTATGAGGGTAGGATTCAGGTCCTTAAAATTATGCAACAGGTGCTTTACATCTTACCAAACTGTGTCTCCAGCTCCATAGAGACTGTGAATGTGATAAAGGAGCTTTAACTTAGTATCCAAGTTTCAGCCTTGCTTTTTTGAAACAGAGTTTTGTATATGGCCCCAGGTCACCTGGAACTTGCTATGTATCTCAGGCTTGTCTTGAATTTACTGTAATCCTTCTGCCTCTGCTTCCCAAGAGCTAGGATTACAGGTGTGTACCATCACATCTGACCCAAATTTCACTCTGAAAACCCATACAAGCAGCAAATTGTAAGCTTCAGAAATCCTACCACTGTGGTGTGAAGCTGTTGAAATAACCCTAGAACTCAAATCCGAGGTCCAGGTTTTAACTGGAGTCCTTTCATTTCACAGGGTGGCAAGTCAGTTTCCCATCCACACTGAGGTTTCTTTGTGTACAAGAAGTAATTAATAATATGTTTTCTTTTTAGTGTTAATATTAGGGCTGGGGGCAAAACTCAGGGGCTAAGAGTGCTTGCTGTGCAAGATTGGTGACCTGAGTTTGAATCCCCAGTACCCACACAGAAAGCCAGGTGTGGCTATGGACACATCTAACCTCTGGGGCTGCTGGAGGTGGAAACGGGAGCCATCCTCACTCTAGATTCAATGAGAGATCTTGTCTCAAAGGAATACAGCAGACAGTGATAGAGCATGACTCTGTACTTCCTCTGGCTGCATGCCTATGTGTTATGTGGGCATGCATACACACACAGAAATACACTACACATGTGCACATTTTTAAAAGTAGCATTTGAGCCCATAAACTCCATATCCAACACTCAAACTTGTAAGTAAACAATGAGGAACAGTAGTTATGTAGTTATTACTCTGAAACCATATTGAGAAAGAGTATTACTCTCCATTATCAAGTTTGAAAGCAGTATAGTCATTAAGCACATTGACCTTGAAGGTAGCCAGTACTAAACTCAATCCCAGCTCTGCTGCCAGCAATGTGACCTGGAGTAATTTTTAAATTGCTCTAGTCTGACTCTCACTCCCTCTCCCCTCTCTCACACAGTAAGTGGTTTGAGGATTTAATTAATGCATACAAACTGTTTTGTGGTGCCTAGCATACAGTACAGTTCTCAACATACAGTTTAAAAATATCATTTATTGAACCCTTGAAAGGTGCCAGGCTTAATTTGGGATATAAAATAAAAAGACAGCTCTGGAGAGGTGGAAGCAGATAGATATCTCTTGAGTTTGAGCCCAGCCTGGTCTACATAGAGAGTTCCAGGCTAGTCAGGGCTACATTTTAGAAAGACCCTGTCTAAGGGGGGGGGGGAAGCCCATTAAAAAATAAATTTACAAATTTGCCTGGAAGAACACAGAAACCTTTGTGGAGGAGGAAATGTTTGACAAAGCTTGAAGTGGGCATGGAGTATAGCTCAGTGGTTGAGCACATGCCTGACAAGTGCAAGACTCTGGGTTAGATACACAACATGGGGGGAAAATCCTTTGAAGGATGAACAGCATTTTAAAATTGTTTATTTGTTCTCTTGTTTATAGCCCCTTCCCTTAGGGCTTGGTCTTTTGGTCCAGTTTTATAATTTTCCCTTTGATCACCGAAAGCCAAATTCAAATTAATTCTTGTTGACTTTATAGTGAATTGATCTAAACATTGTGGTGACTCCTTTGGGCACAATGTTGGAAACTGATTTTTCTTCTATTTCTATATATGAAACATCTGTTGTTTTGTATTCATTTCATGGAGGCATCTTAAGAGTTCAGTGGACAGCTAGCTCTGTGTGGAGGACGATCCTGACCAATGGACATTGTTGGCATACTTGTTACTTGTTGCTGATCTTTCTTAGCCAAGGCAGGGAGGACTTAGAACCACTTGTCACAGGAAGAGCTGGAGGTGACTAGAATGCATGGATAGGGAACAGAAAGTGGGATGCAGACAGATGTTTTTTGGAGAGAATAGAAAGTTTACAGACAGATGTTCTTTGTTTACATAAGAGTCTTATTTGTGAAGACACCCTGATCCCATTTATCATTTATGTTAGGTGTGAACTGGGGAAGCAGAGGTGCAGCCTGCCCAAAGTGAATGAAAGCCCCGATTCTCTTTGAGCTTGTTACTTTAATGTCAACTAAATTCACATTAGCAACATGTAGGGTGATATGAAGAGATGTCCTCTCCCAAATAATCACAACTCAGTAATAGTAAAAATAATAGTAAAAGGGGAAATTATCTTTTAAAGCTAAGAAAATCTCAGACTCATTAATCAATTATATATAAATTGAAACAAGCAAAAGCTATGGTTGCTATATTTTTACACCATTAGCTAATGGTGTAATGTTAATTTATTGGCATCTGGCAGAAACCATCTGCAACTTATTTTATAGAGGTCCCAGTATTACAACAATTAATAGTTGGAAAAGCCTTGAACGGCTTTGTATTCAGCTTCTTCCTCATTCCAAAACCAAGGAAATCGTGGCCCAGCTGAGAGAGGCTGAGCTCAGCTGTTCCTGCCAAACCTCTCTAACGAGACTTTGGATAGCATTTTTCATGCTGGTGATTTGAAGAGACCTGTAATACCTTTCTATTGTCCTAGGCATTCATGAATCCTAGCACTCACCTTCCCACCCGCTCCTTCCCACACATTCACACATTTAAGTTAGAAGCTACAAATCAAAGCAGTTTCTCTTCTAAGAGTCAGAGATACCTAAACGACTGAACTTGTCATGCGAGTTTCAAGATGCTAAGCGAAAGTGGAATCATCTAGCCCAAGAACTGTTAAATAAGGACACGGTATCATCTTCAGTACAGTTGACCCAAAGCCAAGAGGTCTACAAATATCACAGCAGGGATGGAGGGAACGCACAATTTCAAGCCTTCTTGGCGATTCCGGAGAAGCCACTCCCTGATGGGCAGGAAGGCCATTTAGGAAGGACTTCCTTTGGAAAGCATAAGGCCACAACCCATCCGATCCTCCGGCCAGAGAGGTGGGCTCCGTGGCGCGCATCGCGCCCGGGTGCACGTCCTGCAGGGAGGCCCCTGCACGCGCCCGTCGTGACAGACAGGGGACTCGGCAGACTCGCTGCTAGACCCCGCCCCAGCTTCGGCCCGCGCCTATCCCGGACCGCGCGTTGGTCACGCGGCGGAGCGCCGCGGGCTGGCGGCCAGTGCTGGCGGGGCCCGAGTGGCTGCGGCCGGGCGGGGCGGGCGGAGGTTAGAAATAGGGAGAGCGGGCCGCGCCACCGAGCCGCCAGCCTCAAACACGCTGCGCAGCGAGCGGCCGCACTCGCACCCGCACCCATGCTGCTGACGCTGGCCAGCGGCGCGCTCTTCTTCCCGGGGCTCTTTGCGCTCAGCACTTGGGCGCTGCGCCGCTCGCGGCCGGGATGGACCGACGACGACTGCCTGACGGTCGGCACCAGGTACCGCGGGCTGGGCCGCCCGCTCTGGCGGGGCGCTGCCCTCCGCTTCAGGCCTGCGGGCGGAAAGGGGGCGACAGGAAGCGTCCCTCGGTGCGGGGCGGGTCTGGTCGTGAAGGCCGCTCAGGGCATCGCGACGCCATGGTTGCACGGGAGGGGCAGGTTGGAGAGTGGGGCTTTGTGCTGTCCACAGTCCTGGAGTAAAAGTGCTTTCTTTGGTTTCTCTTCTGTGTCCCACCTCAGGCTGGTGTCCTCGGTGCAGGCAGTGCTGGCCACCGGGGCGGGGCTCATCATCATCTGCTCCTGCAGCAACGTGGTCTCAGACAGGTAATGTCCCATCCCAGGGGACATCTAAGTACAAATACACCGGCTGAGGGATCGCTCCCCCCACAACGTTTTCACATTTTAGTGGCTTTAAAGGCCTATTCTTTGTCATGCTATGATGTATGTGACTGCTTGGTGGGACAACCTGTGCACCTTAATTAATGCCTTCCTCTCGCTGCTTCCAACATCCCATCTTAGGAGAACCAAAGGGAATGCGGAAAAATGCTAGAGAGCAAGAGTCTCGGTGAAATGCTAGAGAGCAAGAGTCTCGGTGTGACTAAAGAGTGTCCTGTTAGAGGACAGTGTGGTCCGACTGTCCCTCTTTATAAGCAGGAGTATGGCTTTTGGTTCTTTTAAATGCCTTCACTGGGTTCTCCCTCTGGAACATTCTTTAGCATTGATAATAGCAGTGACTGCAGCCAGCCCCTTCTATTGACAGCAGAAGTCCACCTCCCTTTCCCTGCAGATGCCGCTCTTGCTTTTCTTTTGCTCAAGATAATGAGGTTTCTGGTGCCTTCAGAAAACTGACAAGTTTGTGCTCAAAGTCAGGCCAGAAAATGGACCTCTGTGGCGCTTCAGTGAGACAAATAAACTAAGACCAGAATGGGCTGTTTACATGGGTAGTGGTGTTGCTTTGTTTTATCTGTAGACCTGAGTAGCCGGGAACTTGTGGCAATCCTCCTCCACCTGTCTTCCAAGGGCAGAATAACAGATATATATACCACCACACCAAGATGTTTTTATTTATTATTCATCTTCCCAATTGGCTCTTTGAACCACTCTTTCTTCCAGAGAAGCTAAAGAGTGGCAGGCAGACATTCAGAGAAAGTTGGGTGGCCTTTCCTGATTTTCCACCCTGCAAAGTCTTGTTTCTCTGCTGGAAGAGGAATCAGAGAGGACAAGACTCTCATGGTGACCTGGGAGATACTTGGGTTTGATCATGCTGTCACCAGTCACCATTTCTCGGTTTTCCTCTCATGTCTCTTCTCTTGAGGTAGGGTCTCTTGTAGTTTGGATTGGCCTTGAACTCACTGAGATCTGCCTGCCTCTGCCTCCTCAGTGCTAGGATTTAAGATGTGGGGCACCATGACTCCTCTTGATAGTTTTTTGTTCTTGTTTTTTGAGACAGGTTTTCTCTGTATAACAGCCCTGACTGTCCTGGAACTCTCTCTGTACACCAGGCTGGCCTCAAACTCACAGAAATCCACCTGCCTCTGCCTCTCAAGTGTTGGGATTAAAGGCGTGTGCCACCACCACCTGGCTCTTGGTAGTTATTTTATTTGAAATTACTCTAAGAAGCAATGAGTCCATCAATGGGCATTAGAGTAGGTCTTGGATCTTTTGGCCCTGAATGAAGCTGGCAAGTCAGTTTGCCTACAAGTGTACTACATGTGCCATTATTATTTATTTACTTCTATTCCATTCTTTTTTAATTGAATTGTGCTGTGATAAACACAGAGCTAATTCAGGAACAGACTCTCACATGGCAGCCTCTCTAGATTCTGGGTGCTGCTCCTCGGGAAGTCACCTGAGACAAGGTGAAAAGTACAGATTGGATCCTAGACATGGATTTAGACTCTATGGGGAACAGAGTGCTTCACAAGCACTGCCTGTAGCCTGACTGTTAGGTAGTTTGAGAACTGTACAGTGAGTTTCCTCTTCTAACACAGTTGCTCAAAAATTTACTAAGTGAATCTAATCCTCCTCAGCATAGGACAGATTCCAATTTAAATGTTCCTTTATATGAAGTCTTTGTGTGATGTTGGTCAGTGCAGGCACAGTTCTTTCTGTGTATGCTAGAACAGTAAACCATCATTTTGGCTCATCAAATGTTTCACTCCTACTGGGCAAGTTAATAGGAACACAATATATGCCCCAAATCAGCCAATGAAGTGGACATTTTGTTTCCAGCCTCTCTTGGTATTTTGTAGCTGTGACGGTCCTTGAAGACTAGGCCCATTTCTAGACATACTTTAAGAAATGTTTAAAGTAAATTTATTTAGTTTGTGTGCACACATGTGCATATACAAACCATGTTGTACTTGTGGGGGTCAGAAAACAACTAGCAGGGATTCTCTCGTTCCACCATGTGGGTCCTAAGGATTGAACTTAGGGATCATCAGGCAAGCATCTTACCCACTAGGCCATCTAGCTGGTCCCAGACATTTTTATGAATGAATGGAACCCAGAGTTAACCATAGATAAGGAAATAACATGGCCAGGGTGCTTCCTACAAACTGTCTACAGTAGGGCATCCAGAAGCAAGAGAGAATGTGTAGATGTAGAAGTTAAACTGCGAAACTCCCAACTATTGAGCAACTGAGGAGTTAAACTGGAAAGGTTGGACTTGTGATTTAGAACACCTTCCAAACCAGTTCCTTGGTGGAGCTGCTGAATCATTTGGAAGTTTATCTCCATCAAAGTCAGTTTCTATCAAAATGTTCGAAGTCTACTGTAGATAAGTAGCTGAGCCAGGCAAATAGTTAAACTACTTGTGTATACAGGCAGAATGAATTCCTGCTTTTTATCCTTGAGCCTCATGAATTTGCTTTGTAATTTAGAGATACTCTCCTTAACAGTCTCTTCACTATATTCAAAGTAATAATAGCTGATTGAGAACAGAACTGAAGAGAGCCAGTAAGGACAGTACAGCCAGTAAGCTCTGGCTGTCCTGGAACTCACTCTGTAGGCCAGGCTGGCCTTTAACTCAGAGAGATCTGCCTGCCTCTACCTCCTAAGTGCTGGGATTAAAAGTGTGCACCACCACCACCTGGCTGACATCCATGGTTATTTTAAGAGGCTGTCCCTATGCTTTCTTTTAGGCACTGGCTTGCCAGAGAATATGTCTGGTTTTTGATTCCATACATGATCTATGACTGCTATGCCATGTACCTCTGCGAATGGTGCCGAACAAGAGACCAGAAACTCAGATGGGCCACCATTTTCCGAAACTTCCTGATTGAAAACCGCCTAATGGTCACACATCATGCAGTCATCCTGTTTGTCCTTGTACCTGTTTCACAGGTATGGCCTCTCAGGACAGCAGCCTCACTCAACCACTCCGTCACTAAACCAAGTGCCTTGTTCATTCCTTAAGAGTTGGAGAGCCCTCTTCTCTCTTGTACCATGGATGCCCTCTTGCTATACTTCATTGGGTTCTGTCTTTGATGGAAGTACTGGAAGAAAGCCATACCGCCTGAAATGTGACTCCTGGCCAGCATTGTTACTGTTTAAAAGATTTGTTTTTATTGTATGTATATGGGTATTTTTGCCTGCATGTATGTCCGTTACTACTTGCTTGCAGGGAGGCTACAAAGGCCAGAACTGTTGGATTCCTTGGAACTGGAGTTACTGATGGTTTGAGCTACCATATAGTTGATGTGAATTGAACCTGGGTCCTCTGGAAGTGCTCTTATCTCCTGAGCTATTTCCAGTCCTGATTTTTATTTTATTTCTTCAGTACCAGAAGTTAAACTAGCACCTCACTCATACTAGGAAAGCAGCCTACCACTCAACTGTACCCCAGCTCTATTTTTTGGAATAGTCTAAGTTGCTCAGGTTGGCCTTGAACTTATAGTCCCCCTATCTCAGCTTCCCATGTAGCTGGAATTATAGGCTGGTACCACCAATGGGCTTCAACATTATTTATTTTAGAGATTATTTATCTTACTTAAATGGATGTTTAAGTACCCGTGGAGGTCAGAAGTGGCATCAGATCCCTTGGAGCTAGAGATTCAGGTAGTTCTCAAATGCCTGACATGGATGCTAGGAACCAAACTCATCCTCTGGAAAAGTAGCAAGTGCTATTAATCACTGAGCCATCCTTCCAGCCCTGTTTGTTTAGTTTTTTGAGATAGGGTCTCATTATGGAGACCAGGCTATTCTTAGTCTTTCTATCTCTGAATACTGAGATTGAAAGCATGCACTACCACATCCATGCACTACCACATCCAGCATCCTATTTTCTTATTTGTGTGTGTGTGTCTATATATGTGTGTGTGTGTGTGTAGGCACACATGTGGAAGTTAAGCAATAACTTGGAAGAGTCAGTTCTCCTTCTACTATATGGGTCCTAAAAGTGGTATAGGGGGTCGTCAGGCTTCTAGGCTATTGCCTTTACCAGCCAAGCCATCTCTTTTGCTCCAAGTTTTCTTATCCCAGTGTTACTGAGCAAGTTGTTCCACTCGGTAGGCTGCTATTTTAGGAAGAAAAAAGAAGGTACTTCATTTGGTGAGTACTTTGTCTTCTAGCACATACTTGTTTTTTAGTTTGAACAGGCCCAATGCCTTTGACACACAGGCGCAGGCTCCAGAGTTCCTCCCTATTGTCACTAAAATCAGATGAAGCCTGCTATAGGACTCAGTGAGCCCATCTCCATTTGTCTTTAGATCCTCCCCAAGTAACTGCCAGGGAAGCAACAGGATATTAACTGGAAGGCCACTTGCTGTTAACATGTTCTCCTTTCAGGGTCCCATGGGTATCATTTCCCTATAGCCCTAGTTAGGATTTTCCTTCTGGGGGTTTCTTAGCCTCCACATCTCAGTCTCTTTTCTTCTCTCTGCAGAAACTCCGGGGAGAACTTGGAGACTTCTTTGTTGGCTGCATCTTCACAGCAGAACTGAGTACTCCATTTGTGTCGCTGGGCAGAGTTCTGATTCAGGTGTGTGAGTGAAAACAGCAGATGTGAGTGGGAGGGAACAGATCTTATGCTGCCTTTGGAGACTGGAGTCTGGAAAGATCTTACTGCTAGGACAGGAGACCTTTTCACATGTTATGTCATCATCCAAACCAGGTGGATGAGACTTTTGATCTGACCCAAGTTGCACGCACGCACCCACTACCCACCCAAATTGTTGCATTAGTTTCCTAATATAATCAATTGTTCTTATACATTTATAAGGATAATGGGGGTGGTGGCTTAGGTCAAACTCAGCATCATTTCTGGTAAAGTCATGAGGATGTATATGATGGCCGAGGAGACAGCTCAGTGGGCAAGACAGCTTGCTGCAGCAAAGCAGTGTTATCTCCCTCCACTTACTCAGGGTAACATCCATAATACTGGGCCAGAAGCAAGTGATCTATAAAGGTGAGCTCTGGGTTCAATAAGAGCCCCTGTCCCCAGAGAGTGAAAGGATGGCACCTAACATCTTCTGACCTCCAAAATCACATGCACAGGCCTATACACCTGCTTTTGTGTCTGTGTGTGTCTGTGTCCAAGTACCAATTTAGCACCATAGGCCTTGACTCCTACAAGAACCTGCTTGACTGTAGTGAGCCTGGGTTCTGTACCTGATGACCCATCCTCTTGATGACCTGGCATTCTCCTACCTTTTGTCTTGCAGCTAAAGCAGCAGCATACCCTCCTTTATAAAGTCAATGGAATCCTCACGCTGTCCACCTTTCTGTTCTGCCGGATCCTTCTTTTTCCCTTCATGTACTGGTCCTATGGCCAACACAAAGGACTAAGCCTGCTCCGAGTGCCATTTAATATTCCTTTGCACTGCAATGTGGCCAATGCCATCCTCATCTCTCCCCAGCTCTACTGGTTCTCACTGCTGTGCAAGAAGGCAGCCCGGCTCTTTGACACTGCCAAAGCCAAAAAGGATGGTTAATTACTCTCAGGAGTCAGGCACTCACACTAACTGCCTCCTCTACTCAGTATTCCAAGGACCAAATTGTGCCTGGGTTGCTTTTTTCTAGATATTGATAAGCCTCTGGATTTGAGGTATTCTTTTTAAGAATCCCCATTACCTCCCCCTTCTAACTGCTCCTTTTGCAAAAGCACTTTTTCCCCCCTGGAGATAACTTGGATACTGTCAAACCTCCACTGCAGCAAAGTAGCTTTAATGCAAGCCTGAGGAGCCTTCCTTGGGTCAAGCTATGACAAGAGCTCTGGGAGGTGAAGCACTGCTATCCCCACTCAGGGCAATATCCATAATACTGGGCCAGAAGCAAGTGACAGCTTGGTTCTTGAAGTAGTGTCATTTTCCCAACACTCAGAAAACCATTGTGAGTGTATAGTCTTTTACTGTTTACTAGACAGCCGCTGGTCCTCTCAACTGAGTATCAACAATGAACTCTCATCCTACTGACCTCTAGTCAGAAGGGCTCAATGACAATGGGCAAGAGGCAGGGCTGAGAACCTGAAGCACTTGAGTAGGTCAGGAGGCCAGCAGAGGCCAGCATCTCTGCAGGCTGACTTGGTATAAAGACCAATAGCACAAATGTGAGCTTGTTTTAAACAGTCACTAACACTATTCCCTTTTTAGCCTAGCCTCTCATACCCAGTGTTCTTTGTGTCCACACAGAAAGCTGGCCTAGAACTCCAAGGGCAAAGTGGAGTGATGGCTTCTGTAGTGGTTTACTGGGTCATCCTACTCTGACACTGCCCTTTTCATTCAAAATGGATACAGATGTCTGCACTCCGACCCTTGAGATCTCATCCAGGCCACCGCCTCTAGCGCTTCCTGGAGAGACCCATTTCTGTGTTAAAGTAGCCAGTTAGCCACAGAAGACTAGAGAACATGAGGGCAGCCACGCTGGCCAGAGCATGTCCTGTGGACCAGTGTGGTAGCTGTGTGCAGTGGTGTAGCACTGATCTCCCTCACAACAGGCTGGGTTTGAGAGGACCTGCTGGCACTTCTTTTAGGTGACAGCAAAAACACTACAGGTGCCTTATAATTCACTGTCCACGGACTTTTAAAGGACTGGAGGATTATGTCTCCAAGTTTTGAATTTCAGTCTTTAATAGGTGCCATTTAAAAAAAAAAAAAAAAAAAAAAAAACCCAAAAATGCTGTTTTGTCTTTTGTTTGTTAGTGTATCCATAAGTCATTCATATGGTAATTAAATTGCACTAAATTCTGTTTATTATTGGTTAAGTGCATTGGCACTGACTCCTTCCAACATCCTGAGACTCAGTTTAACTGAATGCTATGTGGGGTAGTTCCTAGTCTGATCATGGAATGTGACTGACTTCCAGGCAGGTCTTACTCATACCTTAGTCCAACATGTTGGTTCAAGTACCAAAGGATTCGCCGAAGTGCCCAGAGTTCAAGCTCAGTGTTCACGTATAGCTTCAGGTCTGTCTTCCTCTGGTGAATCCCAATTATAAGTTGGGAGGGCAGAAGCCTGCCTGTTGACCACAGAACAGTTAGTTTACTTTAGGTGGGAGAAAAGCAGTAAACCACTTTAAATGAGGTGATGGGACCTTTTCTCTCATCCCCTAAATGACACCTCCCTAAGCTAACAGGTTCTGCAGTTATGTAATACTACCCTAGAAACCTTACACTTTCATTTTATGTTTCTGCATGCATTGTTACCTCTGCCATTCATTCATCAAAACCAAGATGCCACTCCAGGCAGACAGTAATTACATCCCTCCTCCAGGGTGTCAGCTGTTCACCAGTGCTGGCTTAGCACTGTCCCTCCTGGGTATGCTGGTTACTACCCCTTAACAGTGTTTCTTTGTTCAACCCTCTGACAAAAGTACAGGCCTCTCTGGCACACAAGCCACAACCAGTGCCACATGAGCCCCTTTCCCACATGTGCCCTTTGTCGGGATAACCTTGGAAAAGGGATGAAATACTAAAATGTTTGCTAACAGCCCTGGCTGGCCTTGAATTTATGACCCTTCTACTTCAGCCACCCAAATGCTGAGATTATAGGTATGTACTGCTACCAACCCTAGCTAAAAGACTCCAAGAGGCCTCAGTGAAAAGAACATACAACCTTGTGTTTTATTTTATTTTTTCCTCTACTAGGTAGCTCCAGCTTTGGGCTTACTGCCAAATGTGGGTGGAGAATTTCAGTTACAAACATGTTCCTCCCCAGCTGGGCTTGTTTTTCTTTTTTTAACTTTCGGATCTCACTGTGTAGTCCAGGCTGCCACCCTCAGCCATCTCCAAAGGCTGATGTTACTGGTGTGCACTCCCACACCTGCCCCACTGGCTTGACTTGATCTTAAAGATTACCTAACCCTAACTTTGGAGCTTATTTAAGTCCAAACTTCTGAGAAAGGCTCAAGACAAGATGAAACTCAAAAGAGTTTTATTGTAGTAGTATGTGACAAGTCCCTAAGAAACTATTTTCTTTACAGTGCTCTTGTAATGTATCCCTTTCATCGTGTGTACTTTCTCCCATTAACGGTGACGTTTGTTCTCAGCTCTAGGCTCTGAAGAACACCATGTTGGAGGGATAGCTTTTTTCCCTGCCCTCCATGGGTCAGAAGTTGTTGATCTTCTGTAGCAGGGTTTGGCGCCTCTCCTCAGGGCTAATGTTCTTAGCAATAGACTTTAGGAAGCGCTGCTCATCAACCTTCTGGAGCAAGGAGCTGACAGAAGGGTTGGTCTTGCTTAGGGTTTCATAGCAAGTAAGGATTTCCAAGGCCAGCACATACAAGGGCTCACAGACCTCCTGGGGGAGCATGGCCATGATATGCAGAACATGACAGAACATCTGGGTATACACAAACAAGGTTTCCTGAGTCAGGTCCCCTTCTTGTCCCTGGGCCCAAGGGTCCACTGTCTGTATCAACCTGACTGCATCCAGTATACTGGTCAAATTGCCACAGAGGAGTTTGACCACATGGCTCCAACCGTCCATAGGAAGCCAGTTACAACAGCTCTGACTGCAGAGAAACTGGAAAGCTCTCAAGGAGAGAATGGAGAGTTGGAGCTCCTGAGCAAAGGGCCTCAGGTTGAGCAGAGGAACAAACTGAATATACTCTAGGCTGTAAGGGACATGAAGGAGCTGTTTCTCCAAAAGCTTCCTGGTCAGCTGTTGAAGATACTGCCATTCCTGGGGACTACACCAAGGCATGACTTGTACTAGGGCCACCAGAAAGCCCTTGCTAAACAATCTGACCTCCTCAGGATTGCCCACATCTACCACCAAAAGGGAGAGCATCTCTTCAGAGACACTGCGGGAAATGGAGCAGCACTCCATCCAGGCGAGAAGCCCTGTGCCAGGCCCATACCCTTCATGGGCCTGTGAGGTCCACTGGGTCTCAGAGAGCTTACATATCTCAAAAAGGGTGGCCGGCACCTCACACTTAAAGTGTCCTTCAAAGAAGTTCTTCAGTCTCAGGCCCACAGTCCAGTCTAGGTGGTCTAATTTGCGGTGGAGCCAGGACAGGGACTTGGCCCAGGTGTCTGGAGAGAAGGTCTCTACATTAGCCAGCACAATCTCACAGAGGAGCTCCAGAATATGGGTCACAAGATCCTTGCTGTCCAGAGTGAGACAGCGCTTCTCCCGGGGGAGCTGCCAAAACTTGCTGAAGCTGTCCAGGAGCCGGCACAAGCTGAAGAGCAGTGGGAATGGGGAGCAGGTTTGCAGCCAATACTCCTCCAAGCCTGCATTGGCTTCAAGGGTCTGGAGGAAGAGCTTCAGACTCAGGCCTACCTCCTCCATATCTAGCATCAAGAATGGCAAGACAAACTCCTTCAGCACCTCATCAGGCTCCAGAAGAGCAGCAACTGGAACCCCCTGTGGTTTCACAGGATTCATCAGGCAGCTCACCAGTTCCAGAAACTGCTTCTCTTCTTTGGGTGTAGAGAACTTTGTCCAGACAGTTTCTTTGAGGCAAGACACCATGAAACTGGTATGTGGCTTTGGCCCTTGTGTTTCTGTGAACTTCAGGGCAGGGAAGGCAGTGAGAATCTGAGCCAGGAACCTATGAGTGCCAAGATTGGTCACAGCTATGCTGCACATCTTCTTTACCACAACTTCTGGGTATAAGATCACCAGGCGGGCCACAGAGGACACTGCTTTAGCCAGGCCCTGTTCAGAGGTGCTCTGTGCCAGCTGGTTAAATGTTGTGTTGAGGTCTTCCTGAAAACTCTCCAAGTAAGCAGATAACCTGTCTGAGAGGCCCTTTGGCCCCCAACAATGTAGGACTCCAGAAAGGACTTTATTTTTGTCTGGTAGGGAGAGGTCTGCATAGCATTCCAAGGTCAAGCAGATCACCTGCTTGATCTGAGGCTGGGGGATAACCCTGTTAGAATTGATGACTTCTATCACTGTTTCCAGCAGACTCAAGACCAAGTCTGGTTCTCTGAAAAGAGACCTGTTGTTAACCAGGCAGGCAACCCATTCATCTGAAAAGGCCCACTTCTTCTCAGAAGCAAAAATGTAGCACATTTCCATGTACCGGTCCATCTTCTGCTCAATGATGGCCATGGCAATGGAGGCAGTGATGTCCTCGAGGCCCCTGTCATTCAGCACTCTGCTGGTTTTTCTCAGGAAGTCCCTGACACACTCAGCCAGTTCACAGACCACCTGCCTCTCCTCCTTCGACATGCTGGCAGTATCCAGGTAGAGCTTTAAGTTCTGGCTGAAGGAAGTCAGACTCTCACACAGCCGGTAGGTGTCATAATTTGTCCCCTGACTGCTGTTGAGCATGTCCTGCAGTTCTGCACCCCACTCCTGCAGCAGGTTGTACATAAGCTCAAACCCCATGAAAACAGTCTCGCTGGGGAGTTTGGTTAGTGAGGTGAGGCTCACGTCCCGCTCTGCCTCCTTTACTTTGTCAGCCAGGGCCTGTTGATGGTATGGGTTCCGGGTGTCTGAATTCCATACAGAGATCACTGTTGCTAGTTTGTCTAGGTACATGGTGGCAGATACCTCCTGGGGGTCATCCTCCATCAGTGCAAACACACTCAGCATGTCAGCCAAGTTAGCTAATGCACAACACTTCATCCCAAGGCACAGGATTCTCTTTTGGATTTGTTTCAGCCCATTAAGCAGCATGGCCAACAGTGGCATGGTGGGACCCACATCTGGGTCAGACTTAAACCTCTTTGGAGGATGGGAAAACTCATCTGAAGATGGCAAGTATTTATGGGCCATTGTCCTGAACTGGGAAAGCAAGGGGTCCTGCTGATCACCCTTGTGCTTCATCATTTCCCACCAGACATCCAGAAAGAAAGATACATCCTTGGAAGAAGTGTCAATAGTCATATGTTCCAGAAAGTTCTGTAGCTCTGAGCGGCAGATGGTGGTAGGAAGGGCCATTAGGAGCTGAATAAAGAGTCCAGACGCTTCTAGAGACTTAAGCAGCTCAAAAAGGACCGTGTGGTTGATGGTAGGGATCATGTTGCCCACTGAGAAGAACACATCTTCCTGCCACCGAGTATCAGTGTCAGAAGGGCTGACCGGGGAGGGCTGAAGAACCTTGGCCCAGATGATGATCAGTGCTTTCTTCTTCCAGGCAAATGGCTGGGAATGAGCTGTAGCTGAGGAGATCTCCTTTAAAGCCTCCACAATGGGCTGTCCCACATATTCCCAGTCAGACTTGGTCAACTGTTCCAGGGCTTTGGGGTGGAACAGCTGCTCAGCCATCAAAAAGCCCCCATGCAGAATAGTCATTTCCTCACAGATATTTAAGGGTCCTGCACAGAGAAGCCAAGAGTTAATGAAGTTTTCAGAATGGTAAGCAGTGGCTAAGAGAAAGAAACAGAGCCACTGGTTGCCTATCATCAAGGTTAATAAGATCTTGACATCAACAGGAGAGGAAGAAGGCATGGTTAGTAAGAGCTCCCGAAGGGATGGGGTCATACAGACTTGGCTGAAGAATAAAATCCAGTTTCCAAGATCTCTAGCCTGGCAATCAAAACAATGGTACCACTGGGAACAGGCCAAGAGGGATTCAGAACAGGCTTCTAAGTTTAAGTATTTTATATTTACTTTAATTATCTGGATCCTCTGGAGTTGGCGTTACAGGTGATTAAGAGCCACCTGGTATGACTGCTGGGAACTAAACTCCAGTCCTCTACAAGAACCTTATGTGTTCTTAACCACTGAGTTCTCTCCAGCCACCCAGGACGGGCTTAAAGGGAGGAATACAAGTTCAGTTTTGGTTACCTGGAGTCTGAGGTAGAATATTTAGTAATGTCTTTCAGAAATGAATGGCAATGAGTTAAGCAGAAAAGGCCTAATTTAAGTACAGACAGTGCCAACACAGACAAGTTTATAGAAACCAAGAAAGTGACTAAGATCCCTCCACAAAGTGTGAGGAAGAAAGCTGGTTGCTGAGGTTACAGTGGGAACAGCACTGGAGGACAGTGCCACAAAGTATGCATTAGAAGACATGACAAAGGTCAGTGACATGGCTCAGTGACGATCTACACCAAGCCTGATGACCTGAGTTTGACCCCTAGTCCTAATACAGCAAGAGAGAACCAACTCCTACAACTGTCTTCTGACCTCCAGTGATGGTACCCATTCATACACATACAGAATGTAATAATTACAAAACAAAACCTGAGCTCTGTGATGTGTGAAGACTCACATGGAAGGCCCAACACTAGGTGATGAGAAGCCTTTATTTCTTTGGAGGGGGGGTTGCTTATTGTTTTATTTCAGTTTTGTTGTTGAGACAGGGTCTCACTATGAACTGCCTGCCTTTGCTTCCTGAGTGCCAGGATTAAAGGCATGCCCCACACCTAGCTGAGCCTTTGCTTTTGAGCCTAGAGCCTTGCATATATATACCAGGCAAGCACTCTACCACTGAGCTGTATCCCCAGCCCTGCCTTCCTTCTTCCTAAACATACTCCTGCTAACAGGTTTCAACATTCGGGCCTCACAGGGAAAAAGTTCATCCAGCAGTTTCTTCCATTCAAAAAAGACATGCTACTAAGGTTCTGGCTCTGTGGCAGGAACCCGGAAAACATTCATTCACTGAGCTAAGAACTGATAGAGACATTTAAAGAAAGACAATATGGTAGGTAGTTTAAGTGGACAATGGATTTAAATCCTAGCCAGTCATCCAAAAACATGACTCTATACATTACTGTCTGTTTGCAAACACGAAACTGTTATCTTCAATGGTGTAACTATGAAAACCACATGACACACATCATACACTAATCATACTTTTGGAACTACTTTGGTACTACTACCTTCTCAAAACACCTTTCAGGGATTGGAGAATGGAAGGTTACTATCTCAAAAATAATCAGACCACAGAGAACCCGATTTAAATGTTCAATTGTTGGCAGGCCCAGTCTCCTCCAATGCAGAAACAAAAGGGCACAGGTCTTTATCAAAGTGTTTAATTTGGCCTAGAAACTAAAATAAAGAGTTTAACAACTGGGGACTGGAGAGATGGCTCAGCAGGTTAAGAGCACTGGCTGCTCTTCCAGAGAACCCGGGCTTGCAACCTTCTGTAACTCTAGTTCCAGGGGATCTGGAACCCTCACATCAATGTTAATAAAATAAAATTTTTTTATAATTTATTTTTTAAAAAAGGTGTAACAATTAACTGGTCACAGTCACTGTTCCTGACAACCCCCACCCATTCCCAGAGATGCCTAACCCTTCCTTCCCTCATGCTCAGTCCCCCATGCTCCAAGGAACACATCTTCCCATTCTCATAGGCCAGAGTCAACAACAAAAATACTAACTCCAGAGCCAGTTGTGGTGGCTCATGCTTCTAATCCTAGCACTAGGGAGGCAGATTTCTATGTGGCCAGCCAAGGTACATTGTGACACCCTGTCTCAAACCTCCCTTACCCCCAGGGGGGGAAAATCCTAACTCCAGGGAACTAATGAATCTCTTGGCCAGTAACTATTTACACATATACACACACCCCCATAAAAGGTTAAGGATCAGTACTCCTACTAAACCCAGGCCTGAAGGCAATGCACCCTGGCTTCCACAGCAGCAGAAGGCTAGAGCTAGATTGCTGTGGCAGGGTTCTTTCTGGCTCAGGTTGTTCTGCTTGCCCCCAACACCATTCCCTCAAGACTGTACATTGAATTTTATTGCATTTATCAACTTAGTCAAGCAGATGTCTGGCGACAAACATGAGACTTTTAGACACTGTGTACATGTGGCTCGACAAAGTCCCAGACTCAGTTAATAGCTAAGGGAAACTGAAAGGCTTATCAGTAGCTGGTGTTAGGAAGTGAATGCTTACTCTGGTAGACAATGGGCTTGATGGCATACATTTTCCCCCTTAGATAGGATCTTGTTATGCAGCCAGGACTGGCTTGAAACTGTATAGAGCAGGCTGGCCTAGAACTCTTGAGAGCCTCCTGTGCCTGCCTCTAGAGTGCTAGTTAGACATAAGCCTCCACACCCAGCTTTACACCTACAAAACCATTTGACCATCTTGAGAATTATCATTCCTGTTTTAGAGATGGAAACCTCGAGGCCCAGATACAATTTGTGCACAGTGTCTGAGTCAGCAGAGTCAAGCCATGGCAGAGCTCTTGACAGCCGCGGGGCATGAAACTACCTAAAGAGCTGGTTAGGGACAAAAACATTTCTCCATAGCTTATTATTTGCAAATCTTGGATTACCTCCCGGGACAGCCTCCCCGTCTTACCCTCTAAAGAGCACACCTAGCAGGGTGGGGAGGCTTGGCAGATAGCCACAGATTCCTATCAACGCCGCTCTTCCAGACCTCGCCTAAGAGACTCCAAACAGCATTCGAATTCAAAAAGTACCATCTCAGCTGCCTCAACCCTCGCCCGCAAGCGAGGGCTGCGAGGCACCGCTGTGCACAAATCCCCACAAGGCGCCCAGTTATGCACGTGGTCTCAAAGTAACTCCAAGCCTCTGGGAGGAAGGCAGTATCAGCATCTCTGCTTTGTGGACCAGACCTGCTAACAAACTTGTTCACTGACTAGGCAGTCACCCAATAAGGAAGAACGGCCCGGACGTCCGTCCCTCCCAGCCCGGCATTTCCGAAACATGTGCAGTAGCCCGGTACACTTTCAGGGGATCCAAGGCTACATTCGCCCGCCGTTTTCTAATGGGAAGAGACCAAGAGGCGGAGGAGGGACCGAGGAGGACCAACACGAGGCCGGGCTGCGGGCTGGAGACCGGCCTCGAGTCCCCCAGAACTCCTCAGAGCCCCCGGCCTCCAGAGTCGGCTCCGGAGAGCACCAGTGGAGGAGCACAGGGCCTCGGCCCACTCTGGAGGGGCTCTGCCGGACGCGGCCCGACACCTGGCCGGAGTAGGGAGACGCGAACCCACCTAGGTCCATGGCGGCGAAGCTGGCGGCCGGGCTAGACCGCCCCTCCTACCCCGAGGCCGCGAACGCGCCGTCCCGCCACGGCACAAAGGGCGGCGCCACAGGCGCGTCACAGGCCCCGCCCGCCCTCAGCTCGTCTGGGCTTCCGTGCGGTACTCCGCTGGCCGGCTGCCGCTCGGTGCGCACGCGTCCTCCGTCCTCCTCAACAGGCGCGCGGGTCAAGGCCGCCCAAGCCCACAGCGCCCCCTCTCGGCCCTAGGCTTCCCAGCAGTCTCCCTCAGGTACGTAGACAGGCTCCTTGCTGAATCACAGTTCTCTTGGGGCCAGGAGATCCAATCCCTTAGTCCAGACCCCTCACCCAGGAACCGCGGGCAGTCCCCGCCCACGATTCACCCCCACCGAATGGCCTTCCCCGGGCTGCCCACTAACCAGCAGCGGATCCACGGGGCTCCCCGTCCAGCCTCAGAGACACACAGAAATGCCCAAATGCTTTTCAGGCTGTACTGTCTTCTTTCTACAGGCAACAGCAGCGTCACTTTTCAGCTCTCATATAAAGGTGCCTTTATAACTCTGAAGGACAGTTGCGCAGCACAGGGCCAATCGAATGGATTCCTGGTCTGCAACTTGTACTTTTTCAAACACACACACAAACGTCCTGTGTCCTTCCCACACATTATGTCTTTGTCCTTTCTTTCCAGGGCCTAATAATCATCTGCTTTGCTTATTCCCAACTCTCTTCTAGTACCAGGTATCCCTTGGAACAGAGAGGTACACACAGCACCCAATGAGCCAAGTGGAGTTTGAAATGGCTTGTGCTTCGCTCAAGCAGCTGAAGGGTCCCGTGAGCGATCAGGAGAAACTGCTGGTGTACAGCTTCTACAAACAGGCCACCCTGGGCGACTGTAACATCCCTGTCCCTCCAGCCACAGATGTGAAAGCAAAGGCCAAATGGGAGGCATGGAATGTGAACAAAGGGATGTCCAAGATGGATGCCATGAGGATCTATATTGCCAAAGTGGAAGAGCTGAAGAAAAACGAGGCTGGCTAAGGACATTTTGGCAGACAGGAGGAATTAGCGATAGCGCCACTGGTAGGGAATGGGTTTAAGAACTTGTGATGGCTGAAACATACTGAAAGGGTAGCAAGGTTAGCGGAGACATCAATAAATCACTTGAACCGCACGGGAGTGGAGTATGTTGCAAGAGAGCAACTCTGTGAGGGTCCTGGAAAGGAGTCCAAATGTGTAAAAGCATCTCTGCTGGGTAAAACTCCATTAGTCATGCTTTGTGTGGGTTGACTGGCATCAATAGCCTTCCTAGTCCCACAGACTATGTGGATGGATTTTTGGCAGAAGAGGGGGTAGGGGTGTATCATGCTATGAAAATGACCGAGGTTGGAAGTGGAGGCAGGGCCTTGGATCTGTATCAAGGGCTGTCAACTCACAAAGAGCCCAACAGTACAGAGGGGGAAGGGGCTCTACCTTCTTAAGAGCTTAAGTCAGTGAAGCCCTCATCTAAAACCCAGGCCCAGTGAAGTTAGTATTCTGATGGAGCTCAAACTTTCAGTGCACAGTGGTGAGATAACTCAAGCATCACAGCAGCTGAGCAACAATGGAGTAAGATGGTTTCAGAATCTTAGCATCCAAAAGACTTAGCAACCTAAATGTTCTTAGACTTGCTCTTCTTAACCTAGGTTTCTGCTTGGGGCCCTGACAACATGTATATAGGCACACATGTGGCTCATATAAGTGCCAAGGTACTCTTTGTCAATCATTTCATCAACATCAGTGTGCTACCATGGTGTCTGGAAAGCTGGCATATAAAGTGCTAGATAGAGTTCTTGAAGGACTCTACAATAGCATGGCATTTCCCAATACTTTCCTCAAAACTTGTCTTCCATCTGAGATAAAGCCTGAGGCTCTGGGTTTAATCCCTAGCAAATCTATTCATATAATGTAGTATGAATTCTCAGCTATCGGTGTGAAAGCTGAAGGATCAGAGAAGGATAGTGGCCAGCCCCTAGAGTTCTTACCTCCACCAATGCTAAGACCAAAGCGGCAATTCTGTCCTTAGACTGTTTCCTCAGACTGACTGCCCTGCCTTATATTTGTTGTGCCCACCAAGAGACCACCCCCCCCCAAAGCTTCAAGGAGCCAGTGCTGCCTGAATGCAAACACAAGAATGTGTTTATTTCAAAAAACCAGCTAGCTGGAACCTCATTCTGTTGGAAGAATAGACGTCCCAAACTACAAATGCAAGGCATTTTTAAAGAGCAAAGAACAGGAAGGGGGTCGTTAGACCCCTAATCTCATGTCATAAGGTTTCCATAGGTATAGAGATTTCTTAGTGACTAAGGTTACAAAGTTTCCATACAAGGTAACTGCAAGACAAAGGGTATTTATATTTAGCAAAGGAGCCTTAACTGTTGGTCTGCTCAGGCAGGGTTGATTAACACATCCTAGGGTCTGGGGGATTTACAACAGGTTCACAGGTTTCTTAAAAGACAATAGGGTGGGGAGCTCAGGCTCCCCTCTTGTGGGACCTGCTCATGACTTCCTGTCTTTATAGCCTAGAGTCAGGAATCCCTTGCTTAGTTGGGGTCTTTATTTTTCTCATCACAATATTCATCTTTCCACCCAGCCATATCCCTATCTCCACCTCCTTGGTGCTGGGATTAAAGGTGTGAGCCATCACCATTTGACTGTTTCCCTATTAGACTGAATGGATCAAGTTCATGTAGCCCAGCGTAGCCTTGAACTAATGAGATCCATCTGCCTCTGTCTCCTGAGGGCTGGGATTAAAGGTGTTGCCACCAATGCCTAGCCTCTATGGCTAGTGTGGCTAGCTCTGCACTGTGACCTTCAAGCAAGCATTGTTAAATCATAAACAAATATCACCACACTATAATAGAAGTTTCTAAAGGTGTTTTATTGTTGTTATCAATTATTCTGGTTTTGGGGATAGGGCCCGGATGGTCTGGAATTCACTGTGTGAGCCTCAATTGAGAGATCCATCTGCTTCTTCCTACCAAGTGTGATTACAAGCATGAACCACCACGATGGCTATAAAGTATATTTTTTTAATCATTATTTTCATTTATTATTAACATGTGTGTACTATGTTTAGGTGTGGCAGGAGTGGGTGTGCTAAGTTTGTATGTGGAGGTCAGAACACAACTTTATGGAGTTGGTTCTCTCTTTTGACCTTTACATAGGTTCACAGGAGCAAAGTCAGGTTACCAGACTTTTGTAGTAGATGCCACCAATACCTACAGAGCTATCTTTTGGGCCCTAAAGTTTGTTGGTTTGTTTTGGGGTTTGTGTGTTTTTGAGACAGTGTAATAGCCCTAGCTGGCCTTGAACTCACAGAGATCCACCTGCCTCTGCCTACCAAGTGCTGGGATTAAAGCTGTGCACCACTGTCACAAGATGGCTGCACTCCATCTTGGCTTTAGAGCAGAGAGTTCAAAACTGTCCTCAGCAAGTCATTAGACCTAAAGGTCAAAGATGTGGCTATAATAGGGTGTTTGTCTGCCTTATTCTAAATGACAACAGACCTGAATCTGAGGTTGACTACCTACTTCTGATCCTCAAAGCTAGGGAACAAGAAATTTAATTTAAGGTGTGGTTACTGAACCCTTAGAATAAGGAGGAAGAAAAGTCTGTTCCCCTTTTTGGTTAAGGTATATAAACAAGAGTGGTGAAAAATAAACTACTGACAATTTAGTATTAACTGAATCTGCCCTCCTGATTTTATTCTTTGTCTTTATCATTTATAGCTAGCCTTTCCCTCACCCACACACCCCCACCCACTCAGGTATGAACTTGGGGCTGCTTGGCTGGTTCCCTTTGAGCCCCACAAAGACAGCTTCCGACATATGGTGCAACAACATTGAGGCTGCAGCAACAGATGCCGCTGACACACTACCAAGACAAGGCAACACATTTTTAAATAGTCCTCCTTTCCATCCTTTCTAAACAATGCATTCAATAAAACTGAATAATGACTGAAACCAACTTCTATATCAGCCCAAACAAAATCACCAGAAAATATTTTTCAGGCTGAAGAGATAACGTAATCAATTTTAATGAAGACTAAAACCATTTTATAAAGAAAGTAGTACATAACCAGTCACACAGAAATGTGACTCATTGAACACCTGTAACTAAAAAAAAAAAAAAGTGGCACCAGAGAAAAAGATGCCATGTGACAGCTCACATGAAGTTGTTTTTGTTGTTTTAAATCAGGAAAAGGAATGGGAAAGGGGGGAGGAAGGGAGACCGACTTCTGAGGACAGGAGCTGCCGAAGAGAAAATGGGAGGTAGGATGGGGTGGGGGAGGACAGTATAGACAGGCAGGGAAGCAGAGGGGGACAGGGAGGTGGGCAGGGCCCTTTTAAAAGGGAACATAGTAGTGAATGTGCACAGGTGGTGCTCTTAGTGGCTGCAGCTGAGGGTGTATCCTGTCAGAACCCCAAGGGCAGGCCAGTACAGATGCCTGAATACTAACAAACATTTCCTGTTTTCTCTAGTTATTCAAAATGTAAAAGGTGAGGGCATTACCCAGATCTTTTTTATCCAAAGGGTATTTTTTCTTAATCTTTATGTGTATGGGTGTTTTGCCTGCATATGTCTGTGTACCATGTATATTCAGTGCCTTCAGAGGCATTAATTAAGAGTTTTGAATCCCCCAGGACTAGAATTACAGACAGCAACCATCTGGATGCTGGGATCAAATTCAGGTCCTCTGGTAGAACAATCAGTGCTCTTAACCACTGAATCATCTCTTCAGTCTCAGGATAAAATTTAAAACAAAACAAAAACATCAAGCCTGAAATAATGGCACACATCTATAATCCCAGCACTAGAGGCCAAGGTAGGAGAATCAAAAATGCAAAGCCACTAGGTAGGGTAGCCATGTCTTTGATTCCAGCAGGAGGCAGAGGCAGGTGGGTCTCTGAGTTTGAGGCCAATCTAGTTGACATAGTCCTTGGCCAGCCAAGGCTACAAAGTGATGCTCTGTCTCAAGGAAAAAAGAAAGTTAAAAACTTCCTTGAGTTCTACAGTGAAGTAACACACCACTCTGTGCTATCAGGCAAGACTGTCTTAGAAAGTCAGAGGAAACAGTTTCTTTAAACGTCAAGGCTTTCTATAGTAGGATCCATCAGGTCCTGGAAACATGAGCTCTCTAAGCAGTTGGTTTGGCTTCTTTTGACTTGTGTTTGAGAAAGGATCTCTCTGTAGTCTGTAAGGAGCAGGTTTTTCCACCAGCCGCTGGTCTTGTCCCAGCCCTAAATAACACACTAAGACTCTGTATTAGATATAATGCTGTTGGCCAGGTACTTGTTTTTTATCGGCTAGCTCTGTCTTAAGTATTAACCCATTTCTATTAATCTAGTATTTCCACGTCGCCTCATCTTACTGGGGAGTGAGGCCAGCGTCTGGTTTCCCAGTCTCTCCATCTTGACTCCTCCTTCTTCTTTCCTCCTTGTCTCCTAGTCCCTCCTCTCTTGTTTTCCTATTGGCCAACAGTGCTTTATTCATTAACCAGTATGAGAAACATATTTACAGAATGACATCTCCCATCTGTAGTCCTGACTGATCTTGAACTCACAGAGATCCTCTGGTCTCTGCCTCCCAAGTGCTGAGACTAAAGGCATGTGCCACCATGCTCAGCTGATTTGGGCTTCATTTGAACATCCGTTCCAATATTATCTACATGATTCACAGCTAATCAAATTTCCCTACACCCCCAACCAAGGGTAATGTTACATAGAGTTGTCTCAGTCTGGACTATAATTTGTTACCAAATTTAATACAATTATACATAGGAGTTTACCTCTACCAAGAGTGGTAAAAATATTTCATTTCTAAAACAACAGAGCTTTAAAGAGTGAAACTACCACACAAGCCTCCTTGTCCATGCTGGCCACAACCAAGTGGTGGGAGTATTTATGGCCTGCAGTCGTAGGTGCTGTCCCCACATGCCGTCCATTAACCCGAGGCCTTTGGTTTATTTCTTGTGGCAAACCACTCATCACTTTTGTCTGCTGCCATTGCCTATAGAAACAGATGAACAGACATTACTCCAAGTCTGCATTTTCCACCGTGATATTAGCACTAAAGTGAGTTCACCTGTGCAGAGAATGTTTACTGTAACAGGAGAGCTGGTGAGTACCAAGC